TTGGAAAATTCCGAAGTTGCATGACCTTATGCATTTGAGAACAAGCATAGAGCGATCTGGTGTTCCCGACACGTTCGCAGCTGATGTGTCGGAGCATAATCATCAGAGGTTCTGCAAACATCCATATTTGTCATCAAACAAGCGTAAGGCTGCTTCCCAGATGGTGAATCATGTCCGACGCTCATTGGCTTTGCAGGATGAGATGGAGAGTGTGAGAAAACGCAGGAAGAGGTCGACAGAAAATTGGTAATCCGTGATAGAGTGCATGGCCACCGGAAGTAATACCCTGGCAGCGGGCGACGCAGCAACTCTACAACTCCGGTGGTTCCAGATGGACGATGTGCATTTGCCAGGCGTAGAGGGTATGAGCGATACGGCGTTGAGAATACTTAATGAGCTTCCCCGCAGAGAGGATTTTCGAGCTGCACTTACGACGTTCATGACAGAGATGGGTTGTCAACCTCCATCTGATGACCAAGTCATACACACTCGAACACACTTGACTATCGCCTGCACATACGACGGGACGCACAGGGGCGCAAGCGTTCAGACGGCAAGAGCTTCACCACAGTTTCACGGGAGAGCCGTGCACAGCGATGTTGCAGTGAAGGGTGGCAATGACAACATATGGTATGCATTAGTAGCCATGTTTTTCGTCATGAACGCTTGCACAGGTGGTGTTGCGGAGATGCACAAGTGTTGTTTCGTGCAATGGTACAAAGAGGTGGATAGCGAAAGGAAACACACAACAGGTTGTAAGAAGTTGCAATGGGAGAAGGTGAACGGTCATCAGCACAGTAGCGTCATAACGATTGATACCATCATTGACACCGTTCACATTGTTCCTCGTTTTTGTAAACCACAGTGGGGCTCGAAGAAGCATGCAAAAGAGAGGGAGGACAGTTTTTTGTTGAATAGATATGTACTCTAGAAGTGTACAGGGAATTACTCATTGTGAAAAAAACAAAAATTAAAAGACTGATCATTTTTCCGAGAACAATAAGTGGTGGGCGCAGTTGCAATGTTATACTACAGCATTCACTCAACTTTTGTTTTTCTTTTACACAGAGAGAGAGAGAGAGAGAGAGAGAGAGAGAGAGAAAGAGAGAAGCGTTTGAACAACAATAGTCATTTGGTAAAGATGGAGTCCGAACATCGGTAGATTTTTCGAGCGCGGAGCCTGCATTTCAGACCACTGTTGCATACCTTCTATGTCATCTTACACAGCAATGTAGAGAAAGGTGCATCAAACCAGTGTGTATGACGAAGGTAACTTCAGAGTTGACTACTGCGTGCACATGTATGGCGAACGTGGACTTAAAAAGTAGGAGGTGGCACGCACTAGTCAACCCATGTCTATACTTGCCAAGTTACTGACGAGATGTGGTTCATGGCCATGTGACTGCCATGTGAACAGGAAAGGTTGAGGTTGAGGTAACGCCACAATAACAATCTGCACTGGAAGAAATGGCAAGACAGCAAGCCGGAAAATAACCGTATTGAGGAATTGCTGAGAAGCCGATTTAGACTGACACTGCCATCAGTTGTCACATCTGTTGTACGACGGAGAATAAGGGTTGTTCAGATGAGCCAGTTTGACAAAATCCACGAGGGGGTAGATGGCAACGGTTGTATCATGGGCTCCAAAGCGACGGACAGTTCAGAAACAGCAAGGAATGACGAACACTCATGTGGACCAACTGTCACCGAACCATTGCTCCCATTGAGCAGTGAGAGATCAGTGAATCGATGGAAGAGGATACTGGAGGACCCTTGTTATGCGGAAATGTATCAGATGATGACCACAGATGACGCCCAATATCCTCAGATGGTGCATGAACCTTTGTTCAATATTGCAGGAGGCAATCGGTCGACGGGTATGACTGCAGAGGCTGGAAACAGACCCAAGAGGGTGGACGACGAACACTTGTTCCCGTTCACGTGGAAATCAAGAAGACACGCCATATCGATAATAAAACGGGACATATTGCGATTGGATGCCAAGCAGTGGCTGAACGATAACGTGATCGATATGTACTTACAGTCCGTCTATGACGAACATTTTCCAAACGGAGACAATATGACACTTCATGTTTGCACATCTTTCTAGCACCCCGCAGTCATCGCCAATCAGAAGGTTTATGTCGCGAAAGCGGGATGCAGGGGCGGATCAAGAGTACATCGTCAAAGCTGCGTCGAATAAGCAATGAACTGCGAACAACAAGTGTTGTTCTCATCCCTGTGAATTACGAAAACCATTGGAAATTGCTCTTGCTACTGAATGTCGGTCAGTTTTTGGCAGTCACGGAGGACAGCGATGGCCAGAAACGACCTGTTGCGATCGTCATCGATTCCTTTCAACAGAGCGGCCGACAGGAATGCAAGGCGTTGCGCACATTTTTGTGGTATGAATACCTCAGCGCGGCAGACAAAGCAGGGGTGTTGACTCCCGACACAGTGGACACGTCGTGGGTGACATGGAAAGATCTACTTGGATCTAAGATAGTGTACGCTGAATGTTCGCAACAGACCAATACGTCGGACTGTGGTGTTTACGTTTGTTGCATGGCAGCTTAATTGATGCGAAAGCTAGCAAAACTGAGTAAGCAAACGGACATTACCACAAAATATATAACAGAAGTTGTTAGCGCGATGGAGGTTGACGACCAAACGGTCGACATATTTCGTTAGTCAATGGTACATCGCTTTGCGCAGTGTGCTGTCGAGGCAAAAGGATACAACACCGCAGCAGCATGTGACATAGAAAATGTTTTCAGAGATCTCATAGACGGAACACGGAGTGGATGTTCGTAAATACGAGGGCATGATAGAAACCGTGAGATCAGGAAACACGAAGTTGACAACCGCGTGCAAATATACAGAACTCACACGTCGTAGAGAAGCCAATCGGCACGCAGTAGCCAACTTYTGCGCTCAGTCGATGGATGAATGCGTGATGTAATAAAGAAAAAAATATCGTCTTTCGTGTCATAACGGCAAAAAAACTCTCTCTCTCTCTCTCTCTCTCTCTCTCTCTCCCTCCCTACGTGTGAAAATCTCGCCTGGGGTGGTGGATGACAAATGGTTGTTGTATAATATAAAATCATTCCATGTCTAACGTGAGTGTTTGTGAATTCCTGCATGTCAGAGACTTCTAATAAGCGTGAAGAGAATGGCTCCGAAGCCAAGGTACGAGGATCTGTGCAAGACCTTGAAGTCCACAGGGGGGAGAGAGAAGGGGGAGAGGACAGCAAAGGAAGGCCAGAAGACTGTTAAGCAAAGACATACCATTAGGGATATTCCCCGATTCAAGAGACGAGAGACGAACATAGTCTGTAGAACAGAAGCTGTGCTCTCTGTCCCGCCGAGGAAAAAGCAGAGTGGGAAACTGCTCGCACACAACAAGTTACCTGTTGCGACTCCCTTGTTGCGGAAGGGACACGACAACCTCGAGAGGCAGCCTCCGACAGCGCCATAGAAGAAAAGACGAGAAGAAAAAATACAGAATCAACAACTGAGGACAAAGAAAAGAATAATATACAGAAAACATAGGAGTCCTGAAGCAATCGACCTCAGAGGGTCATACGATTTACGAACCACAGCTCAGGAGGAAGACGAAGAGGAAAACTGTGCGGAAGAAATGTCAAAAGAAGTAGAACACGAGAGAATGCAAGAACGAGGAGAAGGTGACAACAGTGACGGTCAGCATGATGTCGATGCAGAGGAGAGCGATCCGGAGGGAGAAGAGGCAGAGGGAGAGGACAGATCCGAGGAGGGCGGAGAGGCAGAGGAAGACAACAGTGAAGACGAAGAAAGAGAGATTACATCTGCTGAGAACAGTGCACAATGCGGAACTGATGAGAAAAAGGGAAGCGCACCGGAGACTTCATCGAACGACAAACAAATTGTGGAGAGGGAGAGTGTACCGCTACAGGGTAAGATGAAGGGCGCCTTATAAAGACACCACTATTTATACACAGCACAGTCGTTGTTGCATGCCGCAGAAATGACGAGGTTCACGGGGGGGAGGGGGGGAAGGGGAGGGGGTCTTTATGAGAGGTGTTACGAAGTGTATTCGGAGGAGGATATGGCAGGGGAGTTGACGGTCTTATGTTTGTTTGTGATTGCAACACATAAAACACGTATCGCGGAGGGTCTTCTTATTACTAAATCAATAATTTGTTGTTATTTTTGTATTTTTTTTCCATATTGCACCAATTTGCGTAGGCGAAGCAGCACCGGTGGAGGCAATGCTGGCGAACCAACAGAGCAACAAACCGGGGGTTTTACAAAGAAAATGAAAGACAGACTGTTTCGTTCGGTGGCAAAGGCCTTTGCTTTTTCTGCAGCAAAGGATGCCACGCTGTACCCAACGGAGGACATTTTTTTCACGGCACTGCAAACAACTGCGAAATCGATAGGAGAAGATGTGGAGGAAGGACTACGGTTGCACGTGGCAACGTACGGAATCCGAGCAGTGATCGGGGAATGCAATCGGATTATGACAACGGTCCGCGGCGAGATATCTTGGCAATTGAGACATTGGTTTTGGGCCGAAAAAGGTCTGCCGCTGGTCCGGTCGGCCCAAACGGACCACCAGCTTCCGACTCGCAACAGGATGAGGGCAGAGATGAAAGGGAACATAACATGGAGAAGGAGCGACAATGATCCATGGGGCGCACCTCCTTTCAAGACGGCACTAAGGCCGTCGCATTGTACAGAGCCGGGTTGCCTGCTGTACGGAGGGGAGATGCCAATAACATGACTACAACTATTGATGATTTTGAACTTGAGTTCATTGCGCCCACCGACGACAAACGTGCGGACGGAGAGAAAAACGAAGAAAGTTTGTGCGCAAGGCCGTGAAAAGGAGAAGAAGGGGTCCGGATGTAGATGGATGGGGGTTGGGGGTGGAACATAGGGAGCAGACAGTGACAACGGTGTTGTAGGGGACATGAGCTGCACCTCCACTCACAGTCAGTGGCATGACACCAAGCCAATGAGGACCAAAATGTAAAATATAAGAGAGAGAGAGAGAG